AATCGTTAATTCTTAACTCTTTTTCTTTTTTTTTCGTCGAACTTTATCTAAACCTTCACCTTTATTTTTCTTTAAATATTAAAATATTTTTTCTAATTTGTACAATTTATGAGAAAAAGTTTTTTTTCATTTTAATTTGGCATGGAAAAGTTAAAAAGAGGGCCATAGGATAAATTTTACGAAAAACGAAAAGTTTAACTTTTCCGTTCTTTCTTAAAGTTCCTTTGAGCTCTCTATTTTATCAACGGAAGAAAACTTAAACATCATTAACGGAGGCAACTGTTAAAGAGCTGTTTAACGATCTTTGCATGCAAAAATAGCTTGGAAGTCGCCGTTATTTTATAACACAACCGTATTTTTTATTCTTTTTATTTTCCGTTGCATTCTCTTCATGAACGCTAGTTTTTGTTTGTTAACAATTTTAAAATAAGCGTTAATTTGCCGTTCGTTAACGGAACGTTGCCTATAGCCCTAATCTCTACCCCATTGTTTTTAATAAATGTATATATATAAATATATGTGTATAATATATACATACAGATGTAACATCTCATTTGAATATCGACCTAGGAAAATACGGTATATATATATATTTTCCAAATCTTTTCAAATTATGCTCATCCTAAGCAAAAAAAACATTCAAAAGAAGCATCGAGACAAAAGTGTTTTGTTTTTCTAGACAAGCAGTCTAAATATGTTGTTAATATTAATATTATTATTCGATATTGGGCTTTTAGTCATTTTTATATTGGACGTTTTCAGATTAAAAAATATCAGACTAGACGTTTTTTCTTTATCATTAGACTTAATTTTACGTTCTCTTCTTAAATGTTTTTGTTTGTTTTTAAAAATAAGTTTAAAATTAAATTAATAAAATTAATTGTGCTTTTGTGTTTGTTTTAATTGTCCAAATTAAAAGAGCATACTAAATACTAAAAATGGAGATAACTTTAATATAAAAATCCTCTTTTTTAAGATGTTTTATGTACATTATAATCTCGTGTTTTCTCTAAAAAAAAGAAAGGTACGTTGTCAAAATAAAGAATTTATTTTTACCTTCTTAACGTGAAATCTTGAGTATAGAGTCCATCACTAGAATTCACTGGAATAAAATCAATCACTAAATTCACATTCACATTTGCATAAAAAATAGATAATCTAAAACATGTGGTTCTTATTCAGCTGTTCAAGCTCTACTAATAAATACTACTAGAATAGACAGTATTGTAGAAGAAAGCCGAATTAAAGCAGAGGGGGGTTTTAATCCTATTAAATAATTTCAAGTGACCCTTAAAAGCTTTGCCTAATCAAGTATGAATTATGTTCTTAAATTTTTTTAATCAAATTTCTGAAATCTTTTTAATCTCATATAAAATAATGCAAGAAAGTAACCATGAATGCCTGAAGAATCCACTTTTAGGAAATATGCATGTCCGAAACTAAAATTGTCGAGACTTTTACTGGACAATCTGTTTCGGATTTTGGTACGAAATTGCTGAATTGCGCAAAACTTGAGTTTCGCAAAAGCGGAATAGGGCAATTTTGCGCGAAATGACTTTTGCGAATGATTGCGCAAATTGTTGTTTTTTCGCGCAAAACTGATGCGCAAAGAAAGAAAAATTTTGCGTTTCTTTCCGCAAAAATTGCGCAAAAGTTTTGCGAATGGAAACCCTACTTTAGGAGTGTAATTCACAACGGAGCCCTTAACGGATTCTTGTGATCAATACCGATTGAGATATCTATGTTTTCAAATTGAAAAACTGATTTTTTCCATTTGTGGTTGACAAAAGTATAAGTTATAAAAACGACGATATATTCCAAATTATCTAATCGGACAGACTCTCCTTTGAATGAAGGTTCACTTGAAATTACGCTTACAGTCCCTAAACTCACGGAAAACTCTTAATTCTTATGATATCTGTTTAATTTGTATCAGTGCAAAAATACTGCCAATCCCATCTTTAAACAAATTTGCAAACAATTTTTGCAAGATTTAAATCTTGATTTGAGGGTAGAACGGTTTAAAGGTGTGTAACTAACTGTAAACCAAACATTTTTGGAATTTTAATTTCAAATAAAAAAACTACTACAACTCTTTTGATTGTTGATTTGTTTTTTATCTTATTATACTTAAAGGGACTGAAGATTTTATTGGAGCGTTGATTTGAGCGACCAGCTACCATTTTTAGAGTGTCATGTCCGATTCAAAGCATAACTCTTTTAACCTCTGTCTGAGGAACAAATTGGGAAATTTCGTGGTTTTTCAAAAACAAATGAAGACGACTGAAAGCGCAATTCCGCAACCTCAAACCATCTCAAATCAAACTCCAAGTCAAGCTGTCAAGATTTGGAACTAAAAAAATATTCTAGTTTTAGTTAATTTGCAACTATTTGTGTTTCTTAAAATAATGCTAATTTTATTTTGAGATTTTGGATAATTTGGAGAGCTTTTTAAAAAAAATCTTTAAGTCGTTCTTTGCAAATGAAATATTACTATTTTTCAAGGGTAATATATGAACTAAATGTGATAGAGGAGTAGCTATGGTCGAGTCCAGCCAGTAATTTCGCATGAAATAAACTTTTTCCTTATTTTGAGATTTAACTGGGGAATTTCTCATATCAATGGTTCTATTATAATTTACAACTAATTATTGATTCATTGTTAATCAAGATTTTTAAATCAAGATTAACCGCAAAGAATGAGACTGAATGATGAATTTAAGCTTCTGTCATTAATCAGATTTTTAGTGTGATCTATATATATATAAATTTAGCTTGTCTGTCTGTCTGTCTGACAAAAATTATTATGAAATCCGCAAACTTTTTTTGTTTTGTTTTATACTGTACAAAGCAAAGATGCTCCCAGATAAAGCCTCAATTAAAAGTTGAAATTTTATATGTTTTTCCTATCATAACTCAGGAACCTCTAGACCGATTTGCCTCAAATATTAATTGGAAACTCGTTAGACCCACGGGAATGTTCTCAGCAGGGTTTTGAGATTCTGTACCATGAGTGAGTCCACTTTTAAAGCGAACATTAAGTTTCCTGGTAAAATCGACCAAGTGCGGGTAAACGGCGGGAGTAACTAAGAGTACCCTGGTTAACGCTGGGTCCCCAAGCATGTAAATAAAGTAGTAATCTTAATTTGTTTGTTGTTTTGTTGTTTATTTGTATGTTTTGACTGTTTATATCTATGTAACTCATGAAGCATATAACTAATTTGCCTCAAATATTGTTTTGGAACTCAAGGACATGTTCTTTGCATGGTTTTAAGTTTTTATATGGAAAACTTGGTCTCTAGGTTCCCGAGCTCACTCCTGTATGCCGAGTCCATTAGCGCCTGATCCAATCAGGGTTCAGCCATGTGTTTATTGTCTATTCTGAACCAATAGAAATAGTATGGCGGTAACATCTATCTTTCTATCTATCTCTCATCATCCAATTAGAGATATATGAATCCTTCAATCGGCGCTATCAGTAAATGGAAATATTTACTTCTACTGAAACTATGGTGTGCTGTAGAACTAGATAATTGGCAGGAACAAACCCAATTTTACAATTGTACTGCAGACAACTAGGAATAGAAAAGACTAAACAAAGTTCAATAAAATCGTTCCTATAATATCATCCGTTGTTGATATGTCCTTGATACAGGGTAACCCATAAAGAATGAGACTTCCAAGACAATTATACGGAATTTGTTAAGTCCTTTTTTTGCATTCAGGGTTCCTTGTCGGCTAAAACTTGCCTATTTCTGTGCTCAATCATGTAGTAAACCATCAAAATATTCAATTAAATGCAGGAGCCGAAATGAAGTCTCAAATAATCAAATTTTTAGAGTTTTGGGTCGTCTTTACAGTCTCATCCTTTGTGGTTAGCCCTGTATATAAACGCCAGGATTTAAGGATTAATGAAAGAAGGAAATTAGTTTGCTAATTTAATTTGTAATTAGACGGAGCTTCGCTAAACATAATGTACAGCAAATTTATGAGCTTACATTAATAAAATTTTTCAATAAAAAATGAATGATGATAGTATAGGATATATACAGTAAGTCTCACTAAACATGATCATTTCTTGATGAGCAAAGAATGCAATGTCGTCTTCTCAATGTATTAAATAAGATCTAATTTTTCATTGGTAAATTTTATGTAATATCTACTACTATTTTAATATCTTCTACTATTGTTGAAATACCTCCTACTATTGTTGTAATATCTCCTACTATTGTAATATCTCCTACTATTGTAATATCTCCTACTATTGTAATATCTCTTACTATTGTAATATCTTCTATTATTGTAATATCTCTTACTATTGTAATATCTCCTACTATTGTAATATCTCCTACTATTGTAATATCTCCTACTATTGTAATATCTTCTACTATTGTAATATCTCCTACTATTGTAATATCTCCTACTATTGTAATATCTTCTACTATTGTAATATCTCCTACTATTGTAATATCTACTACTATTGTAATATCTCCTACTATTGTAATATCTCCCACTATTAATTATATCCAACTATTGTAATATCTCCTACTATTTTAATATTTCCTACTATTGTAATATCTCCTACTATTGTAATATCTCCTACTATTTTAATATCTCCTACTATTGTAATATCTCCTACTATTGTAATATCTTCTACTATTGTAATATCTCCTACTATTGTAATATCTTATACTATTGTAATATCTTCTACTATTGTATCTCCTACTATTGTAATATCTTCTACTATTGTAATATCCTCTATTATTGTAATATCTCCTACTATTGTAATATCTCCTACTGTTGTAATATCTCCTAATATTGTAATATTTTCTACTATTGTAATATCTCCTACTATTGTAATATCTCCTGCTATTGTAACATCATCAGCTATTGTCAACTATTGCTAGATCTTCTATGTATTGACCCCTCTGTGTCCGGCGCCTTCGTCACTGCAGTTTATCAGGCGTCGGTATCTCGCGTCATCTCGCGTTAAGCTCACTTTGACGCAACCCATCCCACTGAGTGAACAGTCAAGATCAGGCGCTAGCGGCGCAAACATGGAGATACTCAAGGTACTGGCTAACACTGCAGGGCAGGGTTGGGATGAGTTTGATAATTAATCCTTGTATTTACTCCGTGTGACATGAACATTAATTTTCATGTTATTTGACAAACATGGTTTATGTTGATAAAAAACTCAGGAAGTGATGAGGAATAGTTTTTATGATAATATCAAGAACTTTTTGTCACAGAATAAAGAATATTTTATAGATGAAAGATAAAACTTTTTTCCACTTAAAGTGTAAATTTCATTTAACGTTCACTAATTATACGAACGCATTGCATCATAGACGGGGAATATTGTTGAAATTTTGGATTTTAAGATAACAATTTTGGTTTATAGCAGTAAGAATTACAGGCTTTATGTTGATGTAATTTCAAGTGACCCTCCATTTTTAGAGTGGCTATCTGATCCAGAACGCCACTCTTTAACCCTATGTCTGAGTAACGATACGGAAATTTAGTCACTCAATTACAGAGAAATCACTATTGAAAACTATCAATTTTCATTTAGCAAAAAAGGATATCTTAGTCAAGGTACTAATACAAGGAAAGTTAATTGCGGTCGCGTACACTCTGCGTACATATTGAAACCAGTTCTCTCTGGGCGGACTTTGTAAACAAAAATAGATGCATCAGTGTTTGTTTAGTATCAGAGAAGGTTAAAAGCATTAAATTTTGATAATTTTGAAAATTCACATAATAGTTTCTATGATCAGAATATTTCATAGAATATTTTTGTGAAAATGGATTCCATGTCAGGCTGTGACATCCGTCTTGTGTTTATATTACCGCCCAGAGACAGTACACTGCAGTACAAAAAATGCGTACACCTCTGAAATAACTTTCCTTGCATTAGTACCTTGATCTTAGTCATCGTTTGACTGTCGGTCACTTGAAATTAAAAACAAAACCTACATGAAATAGTTTCGCATGATCTCTATCAGATATCCGACTAATTAAAGGGACTGTAAGCGTAATTTTAAGTGAACCTCCATACAAAGATGGCAATGCCCGATTTACAACGGTACCCTTGAAAGCTTTATCTGGTTAAGTATGAATTATATTTTAATGTTTTTGTTTCTTTAAACAGTTTCTTTTATTTTGCGATGAATTATAACATAACCGTAGAAATAAATGAAAGGTAACCCTAGAAATAAATGAAAGCTAACCGTAGAAATGAATGAATGATAAACAGATAAATGACACAAGGATGAACAAAAAATAATTAATAAAGAAATGAATACATTAAACAAATGAGGAGAGAATAAAGAGGAATATAAGAGAAATAAATGAATAATGAATAGATGAATACATTAAACAAGTGAGAAATAAATGATTAATGAATAGAGGAATACATTAAAAAAATGAGAAATAAATGAATAATGAATAGATGAATACAGTAAACAAATAGAAGACAATAGAGAGGAATAAATGAGAAGTAAATGAATAATGAATAGATGAATACAGTAAACAAATGAGAAGAGGGTAAATAGGAATAAATGAGAAATAAATGATTAATATATAGATAAATTGTAGAGTTAAAATATTCTTGTAAATAAAGACATAAATATGTAGATTCCGGAAGCCAAGATAAACTCAGCCCTACCTTCCCTCCCTCCCCCTTCCCTCATCCTACTCCATTCCCTCGTCCTACCCCCTCCCTCATCCTACCCCCCCCCTGTCCATCCTATTTAAAATGCACGCCGGCTACAGTGAAACCCTAAATGAGCCCTACATCGAAAGACTTTATCATATGTCGTCTTGACAATTTTTCGATGGTTTTTTTTTTACTATTTTACGTAAATCTCAGTCTTTTCGAAAATAAATAAATAGCCATGAGCATGCGGTAACAGTTTTAAAGAGCTCCATATAATCATTTAATTAAAAATCTAGATATCTGCAATATTCCATTATCAGAAAGTGAAGAAAACGGCATTTGATGAATTCTTTCGATGTACGGCTTATTTAGATTTTAGCTGTGTGCTTAAAAGTCGATGAAGAATCGTTTTACAAAACTGGTGTAAAATTAGCAAATTCTTGGATACATCTTATTCTTAAATTAATGCAGGGTATTCCACGTAACATAATATATTGACAATTTAGAGACGATATTAAGATACTGTAGACGTAATTTCAAATGAACCCATATTCAAAAGTGCTATGACCGATTCACAACTGTACCCTTGTAACAATTATCAGATCAATACTTTAGAAGACATTGTTGTTTTTCTAGCTTCAAAAGTGTTAAATTCTGACAATTTCTTCCATTGTTTATAACGCAAAAATGTAAAAAGAAACTACGAATGAAATTAATTAATTTTCAAAGAGATGATGACAAGGAGTATGAAATGGGAGGGAGATACAACTTACGTGGACCGCCCTACCATATGATTATACATACTTTGCAGACGGTACTCCATTTGAATAAGAAATATTTGTATGATGTACAATTACCGCGTATACAATAACATATTCTAAATATTTCTTATACAAATGAAGTACTGTCTGCAAAGCATGTATAATCATATGGTAGGGCGAACCGCGTCAGTTGTATCTCCCTTCTATTCCATACTCCTTGGATGATGATGAACATCTCATGCATTCTTGATATGACAAAGATTTTAAGGATACTGTTGGAAATCAGACATTACTCTATAACTGGAAAGTGAATAAAAACCACGTCTGCAGACATTTCCTTTTGTTTTAAGTTTAAATATTTTTTATCTTTGTTAGCTATCATCTGGTAACAAAGATTGTATCAGAAAAGATGTTTTGATAAAAATATGTCATATCAAAGATCAAAGAAGATCAAAGAAGATCAAAGTGTCTCCCAATTGTCATGTTAAGTTTTACATCCTTTTATACTGTGCGCGTTTTATACTGCACATTGTGCGCGTTTTATACTGCACATTGTGCGCGTTTTATACTGCACATTGTGCGCGTTTTATGCTGCACATTGTGCGCGTTTTATGCTGCACATTGTGCGCGTTTTATTCTGCACATTGTGCGCGTTTTATACTGTACATTGTGCGCGTTTTATACTGCACATTGTGGCGTTTTATACTGCACATTGTGCGCGTTTTATGCTGCACATTGTGCGCGTTTTATTCTGCACATTGTGCGCGCTTTATACTGCACATTATGCGCGTTTTATACTGCACATTGTGCGCGTTTTATACTGCACATTGTGCGCGTTTTACACTGCACATGTGTGCTTTTAATATGGCACATTTTGCGCGTTTTATTCTGTATATTTTGCGCGTTTTGTACTATAAATTGTGCGCATTTTATACTGTTAATCATTGTGCACGTTTTATACTGCACATTGTGCGCGTTTTATGCTGCACATTGTGCGCGTTTTATACTTAAATTGTGCGCATTTTATACTGTTAATCATTGTGCGCGTTTTATACTGTGAATTGTGCGCGTTTTATACTGTATATTGTGCGCATCTTATACTGTACATTGTGCGCGTTTTATACTGCACATTGTGCGCGTTTTATACTGTACATTGTTTGCGTTTCATACTGTACATTGTGCACGTTTTATACTGCAAATTGTGCGCGTTTTATACTGCCAATTGCGCGCCTTTTATAGTGCTCATTGTGCGCGTTTTATTCTGCACATTGTGTGCGTTTTATACTATAAATTGTGCGCATTTTACACTGTTAATCATTGTGCACGTTTTATACTGCACATTGTGCGCGTTTTATGCTGCACATTGTGCTCGTTTTATACTGTACATTGCTCGCGTTTTATTCTGTACATTGTGCGCGTTTAACACTGCACGTTGTGCGCGTTTTATACTGCACATTGTGCGCGTTTTATTCTGTACATTGTTCGCGTTTTATACTGCACATTGTGTGCGTTTTTTACTGAACATTGTGCGTGTTTTATACTGCACATTGTGCGCGTTTTATACTTTACATTTTTCGCGTTTTATAGCGTACATTGTGCGCGTTTTATACTGCACATTGTGCACTTTTTATACTGTACATTGTGCGTGTTTTATACTGCACATTGTATTCGTTTTATACCGTACATTGTGCGTGTTTTATACTGTACATTGTGCGCTTTTTATATTGTACATTGTGCGCGTTTTATACCTTACATTGTGTGCGTTTTATACTGTAATTTGTGTGCGTTTAATACTGCACATTGTGTGCGTTTTATTCTGCACATTGTGCGCGTTTTATACTATAAATTGTGCGCATTTTATACTGTTAATCATTGTGCGCGTGTTATACTGCACATTGTGTGTGTTTTATACTGCACATTGTGCGCGTTTTTTACTGCACATTGTGTGCGTTTTAAATTTTAATTAGTAGCCTAACATTTTAAGCAGTTTAAATCTGGACAAGGAGCAATAGGCAATAACTACAATTTGCCTCTTCTAAAAATTAAGTAGAAAAATATCTCTTAATTCAAATTTATTTAACCAAAAGAAGCAACTGAAAATAAAAATTGCTTTGTTTTAACACGCGATTTAATTGTTCAAAGGGGTAAACGTTTTTTTTTCAAAACAATTCTCATTGCTCGAGCCTAAAGCAAATTTTTCTCATTTTTTTTTTTGAAATTTCAACTTTTCGAAATTGTAAATACCCCTGTTTCCCGGGGGGTAAAATTAGTTTTTTTGTGAGGGGGAGGGAAGTTTTAAGAGATGTGGGGGGGGGGTGCATACATAATGTTATTACTTACTCTGATGTCTTCCATTTACGGCAACTTTGATCTATGATTTATTATATTCTCAGTTACAAAAGAATATGTTTACAATATAAAAAAAAATTCTGAATATACACAACACCCCCCTACGGATGTAGGATATACTGGGATATACAACAAAAATATTAATTTATCTTTTATTTTATTTCAATCTTTAACACGAAATGTGGAAGAATTTTGTTTTTGTTTCTTTTAAAAATAGTTAAATTTATTTTACATACAGGCTGTCCCAATGAACATGGGAATTAATTGACGAAATCAATATCGTCTTTTTAAATAATTCTTT